TAGAATAGTCACCCAGATGAACTGGAATACATTAAAATAAAACATGAGTTAAGATTCTGTGATAATATCTCTTAGTCCTCAGAAAAGGGACACTTATTTGGAAGCTCCTTGCTTTACCTGTCAGCTGCTTTCTTTCCTTTAAAATTGGGATAGGAGAGAGCATATTTGTGAATATTTTGGCATCCAAAATAGTTGTTACAGAATATTCTCAATCTGAATAGGGACTTCATAGCATTGTATTTTGACTATTATCAATTAAAAAGAAAAGCACATTTGTTCTGTAGATATTATATAAAGTACTGAATCAAAAACCCTGAGCCATTTAAACTTAAGTCCTGATCCCTTAATAACAGAGACTCTACCACTACCTTTGTCTAAGAAGGACCTCAGTATGTTCTAGCCATGAGGTGATTATGTTGATTTGCTTAAAGAGTGTCCTTGAGTTCATGATGTCATCTCAAGGGTAATGAATGCTTGAGGGTTGTTGAATATTAATCAGAAGAGGTCAAAGGAAAGAGATGTTATGTTACTTTTTAAGTAGCTTAAGAGAGAGAAAATTTGAAGCTCAAAAACATCCATAAAAACATATAGAAGTTTCCAAATATGCAACCCCAATCTGAAAGCAGAATAGCAATATCCTATGAAGAATCATCCACCTATAGGATGATTAAGTGCTTTTCATTATTTTGTAATAATTTCAACACTGCCATTAACAAATACATTTTCCATGCATTCTTTCTATTTACTTAGTAGTGTATGTTTCATTCACTGTTATTTTAAATAATGTCAGGATTGTAGTAAATATAATACTAAAAATAACCTATATACACATACCTTAAAAGCATTAGAAGGTGTCTCTTGGGATAATATATAAAACTGCTTTAAAACAACTTAGAGTGGTTATTAGGAATTGTGTACATTCAAGGATGTAGTATCTTAATGACTACACTTTAGGCAATACTGTTTAATTTTTAATGGATATATACTAAAATTTGTATCTTAAAATAGCATCAGGCTCATCACACCCTTGACACTGGTAACATGGAACATTTTAAGAAGCATCTAATCCCCATATTTAACTCTTGGAATATTTACAACATTCTGAATATTTAGTTTCTTTTATCCCTTAGGTTAATAATTAAAATCCTGTTTTTCATGATGATGGAAATGCTTCCAAGATATAAAATGACTAAAAAGGAATTGGTGAGATTGTCACTTGGGCCCCTAAATGTATTGCTTTTCCAAGAGTTATTCAGGCTTAGAAAATAATCAGGCATTTCAATCCAAACATATGTGTTTATTTTTAAAGTCTTGACTAGAGTTATTAGTACAGTCTTTCTTTGTAAATAGTTTCAGGGTAAGAATAAACAATACTTACTTTCTACATTTATGTCATTATAAAAATCAGGAAATTTTAATCTTGTGATTTATGGAGCATTCAGATTCTATGCAGGGTCTTGGAATGGATGCAATAAGTACACTTCCTGAATTTAGTGTGATTTTGTGTGTGGTGGGGGTGAGATTGAGGATCTAGAGAAATTCTGTAAAATTCATCAAATTTAAAAAGTGTGGGACTACTCTCACACTTTTTAAATCATAGGTGAAGTATAATCTATTCAAAAAGCCCTAAGTAATCAAAGATCACTAGAAGAACATTTCCTAACTACGCCTACTAGATAACACTTTAAGATTTAAGCCAGGATCATTCATTCTATATATACATATTAACCCATACTTTTCATGATATGGCATACTTTGATACTGCTTGTTTTCCATTAAAGTTTATTTTTAAAATTTATTTACCAGGCACTTTCTTTTTTTTAAAATTGTTTTATTATTCATATGTGCATACAATGCTTAGGTCATTTCTCCCTCCTGCCCCCATCCCCTCCCTTACCGCCCACTCTGCCCCCACCCTCTACCCCCAACCCCTCAATACCCACCAGAAACTATTTTGCCCTTATTTCTAATTTTGTTGAAGAGAGAGTATAAACAATAATACGAAGGAACAAGGGTTTTGCTGGTTGAGATAAGGATAGCTATACAGGGAGTTGACTCACATTAATTTCCTGTGCGTGTGTGTTACCTTCTAGGTTAATTCTTCCTGATCTAACCTTTTCTCTAGTTCCTGGTCCCCTTCTCCTATTGGCCTCAGTTGCTTTTAAGGTATCTGCTTTAGTTTCTCTGCGTTAAGGGCAACAAATGCTAGCTAGTTTTTTAGGTGTCTTACCTATCCTCACCACTTACTTGTGTGCTCTCGCTTTTATCATGTGCTCAAAGTCAAATCCCATTGTTGTGTTTACCCTTGATCTAATGTCCACATATGAGGGAGAACATACAATTTTTGGTCTTTTGGGCCAGGCTAACCTTACTCAAAATGATGTTCTCCAACTCCATACATTTACCTGCAAATGATGACATTTTGTTCTTCTTCATGGCTGCATAAAATTCCATTGTGTATAGATACCACATTTTCTTAATCCATTCATCAGTGGTGGGGCATCTTGGCTGTTTCCATAACTTGGCTATTGTGAATAGTGCTGCAAAAAACATGGGTGTGCAGGTGCCTCTGGAGTAACCTGTGTCACAGTCTTTTGGGTATATCCCCAAGAGTGGTATTGCTGGATCAAATGGTAGATCAATGTTTAGCTTTTTAAGTAGCCTCCAAATTTTTTTCCAGAGTGGTTGTACTAGTTTACATTCCCACCAACAGTGTAGGAGGGTTCCTTTTCCCCGTATCCTCACCAACACTAGTTGTTGGTGGTGTTGCTAATGATGGCTATTCTAACAGGGGTGAGGTGGAATCTTAGTGTGGTTTTAATTTGCATTTCCTTTATTGCTAGAGATGGTGAGCATTTTTTCATGTGTTTTCTGGCCATTTGAATTTCTTCTTTTGAGAAAGTTCTGTTTAGTTCACGTGCCCATTTCTTTATTGGTTCATTAGTTTTGGAAGAATTTAGTTTTTTAAGTTCCCTATATATTGTGGTTATCAGTCCTTTGTCTGATGTGTAGCTGGCAAATATTTTCTCCCACTCTGTGGGTGTTGTCTTCAGTTTAGAGACCATTTCTTTTGATGAACAAAGCTTTTTAGTTTTATGAAGTCCCATTGATCTATGCTGTCTCTTAGTTGCTGTGCTGCTGGGGTTTCGTTGAGAAAGTTCTTACCTATACCTACTAACTCCAGAGTATTTCCTACTCTTTCCTGTATCAACTTTAGAGTTTGTGGTCTGCTATTAAGATCCTTGATCCATTTTGAGTTAATCTTGGGATAGGGTGATATACATGGATCTAGTTTCAGTTTTTTGCAGACTGCTAACCAGTTTTCCCAGTAGTTTTTGTTGAAGAGGCTGCTATTTCTCCATCGTATATTTTTAGCTCCTTTGTCAAAGACAAGCTGGTTATAGTTGTGTGGCTTCATATCTGGGTCCTCTATTCTGTTCCACTGGTCTTCATGTCTGTTTTTGTGCCAGTACCATGCTGTTTTTATTGTTATTGTTTTGTAATATAGTTTGAAGTCGCGTATCGTGATACCTCCAGCATTGTTCTTTTGACTGAGTATTGCCTTGGCTATTCGTGGCCTCTTGTGTTTCCATATAAGTTTAACAGTAGATTTTTCAATCTCTTTAATGAATGTCATTGGAATTTTGATGGGAATTGCATCAAACATGTAGATTACTTTTGGGAATATAGACATTTTTACTATGTTGATTCTACCAATCCATGAGCATGGGAGATCTCTCCACTTTCTATAGTCTTCCTCAATCTTTCTTCAGAAGTTTATAGTCTTCCTTGTAGAGGTCATTCACATCTTTTGTTAGGTTTACACCTAGGTATTTGATTTTTTTTTTTGAGGCTATTGTAAATGAAATTGTTTTCATACATTCTTTTTCAGTTTGCTCATTGTTAGTGTATAGAAATGCTAATGATTTTTCTATGTTGATTTTATATCCTGCTACCTTGCTGTAGCTATTGATGATGTCTAGAAGCTTCTGAGTAGAGTTTTTTGGGTCTTTAAGGTATAGGATCATGTCGTCTGCAAATAGGGATATTTTGACAGTTTCTTTACCTATTTGTATTCCTTTTATTCCTTCTTCTTGCCTAATTTCTCTGGCTAGGAATTCCAGTACTATGTTGAATAGGAGTAGAGATAGTGGGCATCCTTGTCTGGTTCCTGATTTTGGAGAGAACGGTTTCAGTTTTTCTCCCTTAAGTATAATGCTGGCTGTAGGTTTTAGCTACATTATAGCTTTTATAATGTTGAGGTACTTTCCTTCTATTCCTAGTTTTCTTAGAGCTTTTATCATGAAATGGTGTTGAATCTTATCAAAGGCTTTTTCTGCATCTATTGAGATGATCAAGTGGTTTTTGTCTTTGCTTCTGTTAATGTGGTTTATTACATTTATTGATTTTCGTATGTTGAACCACCCCTGCATTCCTACCAGGCACTTTCACATGATACAATACCTTTAAATTTTCTTATAATATCTTTTAAAATACAAAGGTAATGCAAAGTGTATTTCCATTCCTTTTGCCTAGTAGAGGCAATCATTGCTTTCAATGTCTTTATATTCATTTGAACAGATACATAGATAAATGGATAACCAGAAAATTAGTTTGTCTCTCTCTCTCTTTCTTTGTCTTTCTCCCTCTCTCTCCCCTTCCCCTTCTTCCCCACTTCTCTTGCTCTCTAATATAAAATTATAGCATTAATATACAATGCTTTTTAAATTTAAAAATAGGTCTAGAAAATCAATCTACATTAGTACATATAGAAATACAATACCTCATTCTTTTAACATCAGCAAGCAATCCATTATATGGGTTAACCATGTTTTATATAACCTGTGTCCTATTAATTGATATTTAGATTTGTTTCAGCAATTTGTCATTACAAAGTATGATGCAATGAATTCTTTTGAATACGTTGAACTTGTATAGGTTCAATTCCTATAAGTGAGATGTGTGGTCTAAAAGGTGAATGCGGCTAGTTTCTAAGGATCATGTCTGCGAGTCAGGATTCCGATCCAGAGACAATGGCCCTGATGGGATGGAGCCAGAGGCATCATGGAGAGTAAGTGGAATAAGATTGTTTACAGCTTTGATGACTTGAACCTTTCTGAGTCCCTCTCCATGGCATCTATGCCTATGGTTTTGAGAAGCCCTCTGCCATCCAACAGCGAGCCATTTTTCCTTGCATCAAGGGTTATGATGTGATTGCTCAAGCCCAATCTAGGACTGGGAAAACAGCCACATTTGCCATATCAATTCTGCAGTAGATTAAATTAGATCTAAAGGCCACACAGGCCTTGGTCCTGGCACCCACTCAAGAATTAGCTCAACAGATACAAAAAGTGGTCTTGGCATTAGGAGATTACATGAGTGCCTCCTGTCATGCCTGTATCTGAGGCACCAAATGCATGCTGAAGTACAGAAGTTGCAGATGGAAGCTCCCCATATCATTCTGGGTAATCAGCGATATCTATCTCCCAAATACATCAAAATGTTTGTACTGGATGAGGCTGACGAAATGTTGAGCCATGGATTTAAGGACCAGATCTATGATATATTCCAGAAGCTCAACAGCAACACCCAGGTAGTTTTGTTGTCAGCCACAATACCTTCAGATGTTCTGGAGGTGACCAAAAGTTCATGAGGGACCCCATTCGAATTCTTGTCAAGAAGGAAGAGTTGACCCTGGAAGGTATCTGCCAATTCTACCTTAATGTGGAACGAGAGGAGTGGAAGCTTGACACTCTCTGTGACTTGTATGAAACCCTGACCATCACCCAGGCAGTCATCTTCATCAGCACCCGAAGGAAGGTCGATTGGCTTACTGAGAAGATGCATGCCCGAGACTTCACAGTCTCTGCCATTCATGGAGACATGTACCAAAAGGAACAAGATGTGATTTTGATGGAGTTCTGATCCTTCTCTAGCAGAGTATTGATTACCAATGACCTGCTGGCCAGAGGCATTGATGTGCAGCAAGTTTCCTTAGTCATCAACTATGACCTTCCCACCAACAGAGAAAACTACATCCACAGAATTGGTTGTGGTGGTCCTTTTGGGGGCAAAGGTGTGGCTATTAACATGGTAACAGAAGAAGACAAGAGGACTCATAGAGACATTGAAACCTTCTACAACACCTCCATTGAAGAGATGCCTCTCAGTATTGCTGACCTCATTTGAGAGGGGCTATCTTGCTACTTGGCCCCAGCCAGGATTGAATCTTGGGGAGGGAGGAGCAGCTGGAGGGGGAGGGAAGGGAGCCAAGGGATAGACATCTTGTTTTTGTTTTTGTTTTTTTTAATTCCTTTGAATAAATGTCACTTTTTGAGGCAAAAAAAATTAAAAATAAAAAAAAGGTGAATGCGTATTTAATTTTCATAGATGTTAGTAAATCATCTTGGATAGACAACACCAATTTACACTTTCACCAAGGATGAGTGAATGTGGTCATGCAAACTTTTAAGCATTGCTTCAATAGAAGTGAATGTGCAATGGAACTATTCACATGAATCCTCCAATTCAACAGTAACATAAAGCTTCTTGTTTCAGACCTCTTCAAGTCTCTTTAAATGCTTCATCTTTGAGAAAAATACAATGATTGTTTTGACAAATATTTAGTTGAAATCTTATGGTGGTTGTGTATAGCTACAGCCTAAATTCTTCTTGGCCTAACAGTTTCACTACTATAGTATTTAATTAATTAGCATAAAAATGTTCATTAGTATAAAATATGTATTTATTTAAATTATCAGATGGAAAAGGGGAAATCCTATCCCTATTTAAAACATCAGGTAACAAAAATAGCCTTTGTGGGTGTGAAAGGTAAACTGGAGAATAGCTGAAGCAAACAAGAATTATACTGCATGAGAGAATAATCAAAAATCCAAAGTATAGTTTTTAGTGCTTCTGTGCATCCTATCTTTGTCTATAAATGAAAGCCCTGAACCACTCTAAGAAATGTTATGTTTTTGTAGCATTACAACCCTACTAGTAATCAGAAAGCATTAAAAATGCTCATGAACACTGTATTCCACAAATTAAGTGAAATTCACACATGGTTAAATAGGTAACCTAGCATGCCTAAGCAAACATTTTATATGGTTTCTCATTACCAAACCATCAAAACAAATCTAAGTAGTTTTTATCATCTATTTAAATTATGCTCTCGAATTTAATCAAAATCTTTTCTTTAGGGCAAGATAGTCCAATATGTGTGGATGTTGATTTAAATGGTGCTCAAAGAAGAGGACAGATATTTTACGTATCGTTTGGACTGTTAATGAATATCTTTACACCAGGCTTTACTAAACAAAGTGATAGATGTTTAGAGGTCTATCCTCCATAAACCACAAAAGAGGGTCCTTCTAGTGGATACTGAGTTCACATTTCAGACCTTTGCAATCTGTACACATAAAACAAATGTTTTCCCAATATGAAAGAAATAGTTCTCGTCTGGTAGGATTGCATAATTCTAAGATCAGCACCCATCTGTGTATATGTTTTTTTTTCTTTTAGCTTATGTTAATGGCTTTATTTGGCAACTTAATGTTTTCCTTTTCCCTCCTAACAGCAGGTGAAAGAATTCATAAATCTGCCATGAACAGTTGCCAATGAATATTCATATCTGGGATGTCTGATTGCAGTAGTTTGACATTTTTATTTGATTTCCATCAAGAAAAAGAAATGCTTTGTTTCTTAATTCATAAGGCTCTCCATTTGGTTTCTGCTCATTTATACCACTGCCTAAGTTATTATAATTGCCAGTATCAAATAACTAATTTTATAAAAAGTAAAAGTTGCTAGGGTCCAGAAAATATGTGAATAAGAATTAAACTCGCTAACTTGCTGAAAACAGTGTATCTTCATTTCTTATTGCATAATTTGGTTAAAAATAAAGATCCATACTAAGCACCTTCAGGTCCTATCCTGTATGTATGGTGCTAGTTCCATGACACTTTGATCCCATCTGATGAACTGATGTGATCTCTTTTGATATAGAGGCCTCCTGAGCAGATGATGCAAACTTAATGGATTATGTTTTCTGTAGATCTTTGTTTCATGAGCAAGAAGATATAATTTGTTGAACAAGAATTGACTCTGTACAATTTTATTGAATATTTGTGGTTATTTGTCAAAAGTCAAGGCATTCATAGAAGTAACACTGATTTTTTTAATTAATTAAAACCTGACATTAAATTGATCCTTTACCGTAGGCCTCTTAAATTAAGGATACATAAGAATCATGTAGAAAGCTTGTAAAATACACATTCCTGGACCATGTCCTTAGAACCCATTTAGTACCTGTAGAGTGGGACCCAATAACTGTTACTTCCAACAGTTATGCTCTACCACACCGTATTAAAATAGTTTATAGTGCTAACTATCTGTTGGTCCTTTATAAAGTACATACAAAAATTGATGAAAATATAGTTTGGCAAATCATTAAGAAGTTTGTACTTCCAGACAGATTGCAAAATATACAGGGAGGAGGGGGTTCAAAACAACCTACACATTGAATAATGCAACATAGCAAGTGTTCTCTCCAATCCTGTTCTAAATACAGTGTTTGCATATGGTATATATTATGTGTCAGGAGTAAAAGCCTAATTAATAATATATGATTTTAATCTCTTATGAAGTAGAACCTGAATTCCCCAGTTCCTATGTTTTTTGTCGAAAAGCTAAATATAACATAGCAGTAAATTAATGCATTTCTGTTTTTAATCATCTATAAGCCAAAAACTGAAGAAAAACATGTAACAAATTAGAAGAAACAGCCATGGGAATTAAAGAGTATTTCCCTAGTCTGTTACTAAACTCAAAGCATCTATTTTTAGTTGCAATATATAAAATGCTGATTTCTATGTGTTTGCAAAGTAGACACATATTCTCTTGAGATGTCTCTTTGTTTTAATATATCCTAAGTACCAAAAAAGTTTTGATGACCCATTGCTTTTCAGCACTAACAATGAATACAAGTTTTTGTTGTAGTGGTGATAATGGTTGTTTTTAACAAATAACAATTTTCCCAAGACATTTTAAGGAACCACAGCTTCATAGCTTGTTTTCTCTACTTCATGATCATTCTCTTCTAAGCATTTTCAATTTTGCTGTCAGGCATCCTCCTAAAAGCACTAATATGATCTCATGCAGCTTATCTTAATTAAAACATTTCAACAGCTTTTAGCATAAAGCAAATATTTCTCAGCCTTGCTCATAAAACTTTTCATAATCTGACTCCAGTGTATATCTTCTGCTTTATAGCTTAACATTTTTGTCCCACTCTAAAAAACAACCTAGTTTCTTTAAAAAATAAAAATGTGGTAAGATCTCCTCTATCCCCTGTTCCTAAAATATCTTCACTTCTTCTTTCTTGGTTCATTCCTATTTGTCCATCAAAACTGAGATCATTAATTCACTTCTTTTGGAATTTTTCCTCATGGCTCCAGGCTCTAGAGTCTTCAACCTGTAGATCTCCATTGTAATCTTTACAAACTTCTAGCATAGAGCTTGCCACACTGTTTCTCTACCCTCCCCAATGACTAAAGATCTCAAGAACAGACTGTGCCATTTATATTTATGTTTATCACAGTGCCAGCATGTAACAGCAACCCAGTAAATAGCTTTTTCAAAAATGAATTTACTCACAGTGTCATGAATATTGAGAAATAAGACTTGACATTGATAGCTAAAGTTCAATTCCTAATGGACTTGCTATGCCAAACAAAGTACCTTGATTTTAAAATGCTGCTAAGTGGAAAAAATTTGTAGAGGTTTGAACGAGAAAGCAACACAGTACAAAAAGTGCTTTAGGAAAATTAGGATAATGTGTGTAAATTGACACAGTAGTTCAGGAGTGAAGTGAGGAATATTTGTGTGGTGTTAATGTGAGTAGAGCAGAAAGAAAGATGCTGAAACACAGGGCTTTATGACTCCAAGAGTTCTGCCCTAGAAGATAAAAGAGCCATTGGAAATAGAATGTTAAGAGAGCCATTTGTCACATGGAGGAGGGTCAGACACTCTCTAAAAATCAACTTGAAGAACATGTCAGTGGAAAATAGAGAAAATCTTCAAGTAATTACAAACAAATTTCTGCCACGGAAATGAGTTTATAGGGCCCAAGTCCTGTGTGAACATGAGAGTTGACTTCATAAATGCTGAACATTAATTTTGTCAGGAGAGAAAAAATAGGAGTTGAAGGGTAAAGGAAAGAGATGCTGAGAAAACGAGGAATGACTTTGAAAGGAGAAATGGTCAATATGGCCTATGCAGAGACTACCCCAATATTTTATGTTATTCTGTACAACATAGCCACAAATGTTAAATATTCTGAAATTTTAGACACATGTAAGTGTAAAATGTCACTGTGAATAGACCACATGGGTTTTCTTAGAGGTGTGTATGAAAATGAAACTTCTATACTTGTACTCCAGGCTCATCCCAGGTATCCCAATGCAAGTGGAGTGTTTAGAATAGCCCTTTCCTATATTCCATACTTTTCTAGAACTCTGCTTCTTCCCTCCTATCTCTATCACTTCCCCTTCCTTGATACCTCATTATTTTCCCTCTTCACAGTTCTACCTTCCTGCCCCAGCCTATTACTTTGTAGCTCTCCAGACAGTCCCACCATGGGGGACCCTGAGGATGTGGTGAGACCACATAGGAAAAGCAGAAAGATTTCCCATGACTGAACTGAAACTTCCTCAGCCACAACCTCCGGCAACATCTTTTCCCCACCCGGCCAGTGGTTGCCCCACATCTTTTCCCTGTTCTGCTGAATGGCATAAGGCATTAACCATTCTCTGTCCAGGAGGCTACTCCCCTAGGCAAATTCTTTGTTCCTAAGACTGCCTGGCTGTTTAAAGTTAAGTGTGACTCATCCAAGCACTAAGGAAACCAGATGTGACATCTGTGGCAAGTCTACCTCTCCTGATCACTGAGGCATTTGAACATGACTGTTGTTGGTCAGTTCTTGTTATTGTTTATCTCTTCCACTGCAAACGATACTCCATCATTCCCAAAAGCATTCCTTGTCTTTGTGTGATGATTTGTATTATAAAGTGGTTGTATATAAATCATTTAGTTCGATCTTTAAAGAAGTCTTTGATCCAAGGGTAGTTAGTGTCATTTTACAGAGGTAGTGATCAAGATCCAGAGTGGCTGAGTGGTTTACTCAAAGT